AACAGTTTGGATTCAGAAAGGGGCACTCCACCAATCATCAGCTAGTACGGGTGATGAATAACATCCGAAGTAACAAAGCTGTATCCAAGTCCACAGCCATGGCCTTGTTAGACGTTGAAAAGGCGTTTGACAATGTTTGGCATGACGGACTTGTGTACAAGCTTTGTAACTTTAACTTCCCATTACATCTGGTTAAAATCACCCGTAACTACCTTCAGCAAAGGTCGTTTAAGGTATCGTTGAATGGTTGTCTTTCCGACACGTTTTCCATCCCAGCAGGAGTGCCGCAAGGCAGTCTGCTGGGCCCCTTGCTTTACAGCATTTATACTTCCGACATTCCTCCCCTTGGAGACGGTTGCGTGTTCTTCCTGTTCGCAGATGATACCGCAATAGCCGTCAAAGGAAGGATGCCTCGCGAAATAACGAACAAACTTCAACGATGCCTTAACGCCTTTGCTGATTATGCCACCACGTGGAAAATTAAAATCAATCCCTCCAAAACACAAGCGATCATGTTCTTACATCGGCAATCGCCCAAACTGAAACCGGCTCCATCTTGTACTGTAATCATGGATGGCACAAGGGTTGAGTGGTCCGCCGAAGTAACCTATCTCGGGATGTTGTTCGATGAAAAGCTCCTCTTCCGTTCGCATGTAGAGAAAACAGTAGTCAAGTGTTCTGTCTTGGTTAGGTGTCTGTATCTGCTGATTTGCCGCAGATCCCGCCTCTCAAGGGTGAACAAACTGGCCGTCTACAAACAAATCATAGCACCTGCGATCCTCTACGCAGCTCCGGTGTGGGAATCATGTGCACAGACTCACAGGAACAAAATTCAGGTCGCTCAGAATAGAGTGCTGAGGATGGTTCTTGATCGTCCTTTCGACACTAGAATAACAAATTTACATGAAGAGGCAGGCATTGCCAAAATAGATTCCAAAATTAACGAAATTAAGACTAAATTTGCACAAAAATGTAATTTATCAGAACATGCTTTGATAAGCAATTTGTATATAGTAGGTTAGGTGTATATAGTAGTTGTAGGTTAGTTGTAGTTGTAAATAGTAGTTATAAGTAGACTCCTTTTTCCGATTCAAATCATACCAATCCCACCAAGGTGGTCATACTTTAAAATAGGCCTGATAGGACTAGAAACTGTAAATAATAATTAAAATCTCACTATACTAAAGTTGAAAAGACGCATCTGTGTCACTTGAAAAATTCATACATGTAAACCACACAAACACAAGAAATAAAGATCATTTAACTGTCAAAACTGTCGAAATGTCATCATTACAGTTTCAGCATCGAACTGTTCGTGTCTGGACGTGGAAAAGGAGGCAAAGTCAAGGGAAAGGCAAAGTCCCGTTCGAGCCGCGCTGGATTGCAGTTTCCAGTCGGTTGTATTCACCGTCTACTCCGAAAGGGCAACTATGCCGAGCGTGTTGGAGCCGGTGCTCGTGCTCGGTGCCGTGATGGAGTATCTGGCCGCTGAAGTTCTCGAGTTGGCAGGAAATGCCGCTCGTGACAACAATAAAACCCGAATTATCCCACGTCACCTGCAGTTGGCCATCCGCAACGACGAAGAGCTGAACAAACTTCTTTCCGGAGTGACCATCGCTCAGGGTGGTGTCCTGCTAAACATCCAGGCCGTCCTGTTGCCCAAGAAGACCGAAAAGAAGGCCTAAATTCGATCCAAGTTCCCACCCTTTAACAAAATCCGTCCTTTTCAGGACGACCATTTGATGGTAAAGAGTTTCGTTTTCAAAACAGTTTATTTCGTGGTGCGCAAGGAGTGATAAAATGAATCCATTAAAAACATGGTTGAATCTTTCTGTCATGCTCTCCCTAGTTAATTGATATCCTCATCGAGTAGGTTCGATGATGGTTGATTAGTGTAGGCGTGTCTTGAATTCCAAGAAATTAACCAGTGCAGTGTTATCATTCAATCCAATCAATCGACTAAATTTTCAATAGCGCCCTAAAATATCCATCAGTACCGTCCCAACGACGCGTTCATATAAATAAGATTGGTAAATAGCAGATTTTTAGCGATGGGCCCAATCTTAGATCCATTTCCCCTACCTTGCAGAGCTGCGGTGGCCCTGGACTTATGGCCTACATTGATGCAGCGGAATGAAATTCATTAGCAAATTACGGTTGAGATTTCAGAAATGATCGTGGTGTGCGTCCAATTTGAAGTTTGGTGTGATTTCTGATAAGGTATTAGTACCTCTGGAAGTGAATTAACTGCCTACGTGACATCGGTTTACTGGATCCCGGTAAATGTACCTTACTCTCCGCTTTGGACGTGAACTGCTTGCCTTCAATAAATTGAGTGATTTGACTAGTAACTTCAAAAGAGGTTTTCCTCGGACCGCTGATTCTGAACTGTATTGTTCCTTCATTGCTCAACATTTACCGTTACCGTTGGGACTTCCGGTCTTCTTTGCTTAGCCAACCGGTTAATCGTATTGAAGCGATACTTCTAGATTATTATTACGCCTATACTGTGGGCTCATAGAACAATAAAACCGAGCCTGATTAGTAGGTGAACACAAAATACTAAAGTACAACATTCTACCAACATATAGAGTCCAAGAGATTCCTTCAAAAAGGCACAATATATGCGACCGAAACTTCGGATGAAATCCAAACAGATATTTTGAGAGGAACCAGTCGATCACAATCCTCTTATTGAGTTTAACCGGTATTAACAGAGAAATAAGACGCGTTAACCACGAATCCTTGGGAATGATCGTGACACGCTTCATATGGATGACGAATCGTCCTCATCTCATCCTCAGAAAATGGTACCCATTATTTTAATCGGCATCCTTTTGAAAAATTCCCCTCACAACAAGGCTTTTCATGTACTGCCAGAGGGTAGGGGGAGAGGGGCAATTTAATTATTACTAAAATGAACGAAATTTACGATGTGCGCTTCCATCGTGCAAACTTTATTTTGATTGCCGAAGCATACACTCAACAAATTTACCACATAGGTATCTAATGGATGAAAACCATGTGAATTTCACATAGCTTTCACATAGCTAAAAATCCCACCACAAAATCACATGAATATCAGGAGGACGATGAAAGTCATGAAAAAAGTGTCGGAAAGGCATTAGAAAATTAATCGTTAAACTCTTTCTTGATAATGTTGTGGCCCTGAAAAGGGCAATTTTTCCAACGCGCTCGGCGTAGTTGCCCTTGCGGAGCATACGGTGAATACGACCGACTGAGATCTGCAGCAGCTGGGCATTCCATGACGGCGGCCCAGTATACCGGAGCACTGGCACCAACGCACTCGGCGTAGTTGCCCTTTCGCCCCCAGGCTCTGCTGCCGCTGCTCTGGTACTGCTGCTCTGCTGCTCTGCTGCTGGGTCGACGATCGGATAGACAATGATGGAACGGGCGACCTTGTTGGACGCTTGTATAGTAGAACAGAAAATATCAGAGGTGTCAGATACTCGCATCTGATGTCTCGGTTGGAGAAAGTATAAGAATATAAAAAAATCAATCGATTTTCACCATCTTTAGACAATGGTTTACTTTTAACCGTTTTTCAATAGTTTACAAAATGAAATCAATAGTTTTGAAACATTCAGCTAATTGCTAGAAATATTTCCAATCGATTGATGCCATTATCTCGTAAATCTATCATGAGACGGTTGAGTTATTATCGTTCAAAATCTTTTAATTTTTCGTAACTCATCCAAAATGACTGTTTTCAATTTTGTACCCCCGTATGTTGCCGAAAGACGTTATCCAACGTCAAAACATTGCATTTCTTGTTCAAACCCCTTGTAAAAGGAGAAGTAAATTTCAGGTTGTGATTGGTATGATGGAAAAAAAATGTAAGAAATAGAGGGAGAGAGGTTGATTATCTCTTAATTTAGCGTGCTCCCTAAGCAATTACAACATGTTATAAGGCTATTTTGATGAAAAATTTCTTGTTTATGTGTATAACACGTTGCAACTATGCAACATGCGTTTTCGTCTATGATTTTCTGTTTGCATTAGCTTGTCGAAGCTCCTCCTTATCAATACGGCTTATATCATTAACAAACTCTGTCTCTGTGGAAAGATATAAAAATAAAAATAGAAGGCAATTTCATTGGTGACTATCTCTGAGCGGACGTAACATCTAAAAGATATTCGAGAGAGAAAAAATCTGATCAGTTTTTGTTCAACTTTTAAATTGATGTCCTAAATTGATGAGCTTGGCTGATGCATTGTTTTGATAAAAAAAATAAATCCCATAGACCATCATTAGAGCCATTTCTCCTAATTTAATCTTAAAGCGATGCAGAACTACTAGCGCCAGCTCAGGCTTTAAAAGCATGTCATTTCACATTCGCTACCTCCGCCTTTGGGCTCGAAAGAGAGAACATAAACATCGGTCAACAACTAGTGTCACTGGTGTCCACACAAATAAACATAATCCTTGACAACTTACTAATTTGCCACAAGAGATGTGTTTCTCCCATGCCATTTATGCTACTGGAAGCTCCTTCCGTACAGTAGATTGTCTGATTACAGTGCCCAAATGTCCCACACCGGAAATAAGCACATCAAATGTTTTCATAAGTCCGTGCCCGCATCATTGGATCTAGCCGATAGTACCTCTCACACACCTCACGCTGCCTGATGAATCAGCCAAAAGTTGAAAGCCTTGAATGGAATTTGTACGTCCACACCGCGCACCGCTACAGTCACTGCCTGGCAGCCAACCACAAGAATAGCTAGTATATATTATATAGTACAGTATCCATTCCACTGTGAAAACTTAAAATGCAGAAAATAGTATTTTTTAACCTGTCATTCGCGTGTCGTGCTGCGTGTGTTCAAACATTGTAAGCGCAATCACATGTGTACGTAATGCCCCTTATCATTTGTTTCGGTGAAAGAAGCCGACTTATCAAGTTGATAAAAATAATTGATAGTAAACACTTGTCAAAGCAAAATTATTGATATAGCGGGTTATCCAATCGTATTACCTGGTATAAGTGTAATTGATTACACCCTGCAGGTATGAAGCGATGAATGATCTTGAAAGTCGATTAAATGTTTTCTTTTATTTTGAGCACGTAGAACTCCACTCACAACGCGTTGATTTTCTTAACTAACAAACTGAACTTTTCATTATCTTTAAATTTTTAATTTCACTAACAAAATTACCCCTGCGGCAAACACTCGTTCGGAAGCAAATTGATGGGTTCATATAGAGACTGTTAATTATGAATTTCACTCATTATAAATTCCATCACAGCACTATTCTGCTATGCTTGAAAATGTATTTCCACTTTCTCGTTCAGCTAACACTAATCCCCCGAGGAAAAAGATCACAACAGTTCATATTCACAGCAAAATTTCCAGCAGGTGAAAAATGTGCCACACACAACATCAGTGTGGGCTAGGCAGAAGAAAAATCTATCTGCCAGGACCAGAAAACCTAGACGACGAAGCAGTAGAATAAAGCAACGTCCTTCTCGAACAACATCAAACTCACGAATGAACCCAAAACACATTCTACATGGTAGACTTACGCCAAACAAACGGCCTGCGAGACAGCATAAAGTTGCTCTCACCCCAACACCCAACAGCCCTGAGCTTTCGGAAAGATAGTAGCGCAACAGTGACCGACCACACGCACAGAAGAGAAAATGAGACTTCACGGTGAGAGCATGAGACTTCGTGAATGAGTACCTTACCTACTTCCATGGCTATACTCAGGCTGACCGTGACCTATATCTGGAGTACCTACAAAAGATATAAGATTCTCGTGGTTGTTCTTATGATGATGATTAACAATATGGGGTGGTTGCATGAGGAATAAGAAAAAAAAATAAAAAAAATTAGTAACTTTTATTTCATTTGCTTCACCTTTATGACTCAAGACACCGTCACTCAATTGGATTCTTCTTGTTTTTAAAATTATCTTCAATCATCATCCATCCGAAAATTTAATGCAAGTATTTCATGATTTTACTACGTATATTTTCTGGATAAAACACCACCACTGAATTTACTTACTTGTGTTCTTCGTAGCATTGCACAATTTCGCGTAATCGAATACACAAAATTAATATGAACTGGATGAATATGAATTCTCTTGGTGAACATTGGCTTTCCCGCTCAGGAGTGTAAACAATATGTCATACAGCATGGTCTGGCAGTGAGAATGTTTTGTCTACGACATTCTTATACACGTGCATGTGTGATGTCACATTTGATGTTGTATTGAAAAGTAAAAGAATAAGAGATGGTAGATCTTGCTCACCATACCATTTGATATGCATGATGCATTGGCTGTTTTAGCATGACATGCAGGCTACCAACGAATTTTACGATTACTTTTAGAAAGTGTTCAGACTTAGGAATACAAGAAGAAGAAGCAAAAGCAAATCGAGTGATGGTTAAGTTGCCTCTTAAACAGACTACGTAGAAACTTATTTTAAATCACATTACACTAACACTTACATTAACAGGGATTATTTCTTATCCTAGATTTAAAAGTCTGTCATCATTTGTCCGATGTGGAATAGATCAACAGATCGTTAATGAACAAGCTCCTTATACTGACCCTTCTGTTGGAGACCGTTTCCAAACTAATTAGTTTACATCGCGCTGGGTACTCTGGTAAGGTAAGTGGATAACGCCACGGCAGATGTTGCAAAGCGTAAGCTTCGCTGCACCATTTCGATACGCAAGTCTGTACAGGTATGGTACGGCGCCCAAATGGGACAGGTATATTCCAGAATACTCCGAAGAAGTGCGCAGTGTAGTGCTTTTAGTGTGTATATATCGTTGAATCGTACCGTGTTGCGTCTAGGCTTGTTAATATTACCCATTACATTTACATAGCATTTACAATGCGCCATCTTTGTAGCTCATTGATTACGGCTTGAAGTGCACAGCAGTCCAATGATGACGTTATGATCCGATAGATCAGATAAATTCTATTCCAACTCATTACTGTTATAAGCTTGTTGGCCCTGAAGAGGGCCGTTTTATTGTATACGACATCCATGGCCGCTTACACTTGGCGTGTTCAGAGTAGGTGATAGCATCACGGATCACATTTTCCAGGAACACCTTCAGCACACCTCGTGTTTTCTCGTAGATCAGACCGGAGATAAGCTTGACACCTTCCTACTGCTGCTATTGCTGACCACCACGTCGTCTGAAGCGAAAATGAGTTGATGCTAGACTTTATACTTTAAATGATCTTTATTTCTTGTATTTGTGTGGTACATGTGTATTACTTATCAAGTGACACAGATGCGTCTTTTCAACTTTAATTCTTTTGATATTTCAATTATTATTAGTTACAGTTCCTAATCCTATCAGGCCTGTTTTAAGAATGACCACCTTGGTGGGATTGGTTTGTTTTAAATTTGAAAAAGGAGACTACTTATAACTACTATTTGTAACTACAACTAACCTACAACTACTCTATACACCTAATCTACTATATACAAATTGCTTATCAAAGCATGTTCTGATAAAATACATTTTTGTGTAAATTTAGTCTTAATTTCGTTAATTTTGGAATCTATTTTGGCAATGCCTGCCTCTTCGTGTAAATTTGTTTTTTGTAGAACCAATCCAAGTCCAAGAACCATCCTCAGCACTCTATTCTGAGCGACCTGAATTATGTTCCTGTGAGTCTGTGCACATGATTCCCACACCGGAGCTGCGTAGAGGATCGCAGGTGCTATGATTTGTTTGTAGACAGCCAGTTTGTTCACCCTTGAGAGGCGGGATCTGCGGCAAATCAGCGGATACAGACACCTAACCAAGACAGAACACTTGACTACTGTTTTCTCTACATGCGAACGGAAGAGGAGCTTTTCATCGAACAACATCCCGAGATAGGTTACTTCGGCAGACCACTCTACCATTGTGCCATCCATGATTACAGTACAAGATGGAGCCGGTTTCAGTTTCGGCGTTTGCCGATGGAGGAACATGATCGCTTGTGTTTTGGAGCCATTGATTTTGTTTTTCCACTTGGTGGCATAATCAGCAAAGGCGTTAAGGCATCGTTGAAGTTTGTTCGTTATTTCGCGAGGCATCCTTCCTTTGACGGCTATTGCGGTATCATCTGCGAACAGGAAAAACACGCAACCGTCTCCGAGGGGAGGAATGTCGGAAGTGTAAATGCTGTAAAGCAAGGGGCCCACCAGACTGCCTTGCGGGACTCCTGCTGGGATGGAAAACGTGTCGGAAAGACAACCATTCAACGATACCTTTAACGACCTTTGCTGGAGGTAGTTACGGGTGATTTTAACCAGATGTAATGGAAAGTTGAAGTTACAAAGCTTGTATACAAGCCCATTGTGCCAGACATTATCAAACGCTTTCTCAACGTCTAACAAGGCCATGGCTGTGGACTTGGATACAGCTTTGTTACTTCGGATGTTATTCATCACCAGCACTAGCTGGTGATTGTTGGAGTGCCCCTTTCTGAACCCAAACTGTTCCGGAAGGAGAATGTTATTTTCCTCGACAAATTTGAGCAAACGATTGAGAATGAGTTTCTCGAACAATTTGCTCAGCGCTGACAGGAGGCTGATTGGTCTGTAGCTTGAAGGCAATGTTGGATCCTTACCGGGCTTGCGGATTGGTATGATTTTTGCTACTTTCCAGATGCTTGGAAAGTAATGCAGTTCCAAGCATCTGTTGAAGATAGTGCACCCAACCTGTGGATGTAAGATTCGCTTACAATTATGTGGGATTCATCATCAGAGGATGTAAGTGGAGACCGCATGAACCGAAGATGCGATATACCTAGCTGCGGTCCAATGCAAGAGAATTGGAGACCAAAAAATGTAGAGTGTATTGGTGAGGTAAATTAATTATGTCGAAAAAAAAAATAGGAAAAAGGTTGCCGACTGGACTCGAACAACGAACGTTGAGATTATCAGACCTGTGCTTTCTCCACTGCTCTCTCCATGCTTCTGAATAAGGATAGCCTAAAAGCAAACAAGAAGCGCTCATTTCCTCTCACACTCGACTTCGTATGCTTTTTCTGCTGGAGAGATTCGAGGCAAGGGTGTGCGTTGTTCTACCATGTCATACATAAAAATCAAGGCAAATGCTTGCTTGTGTAGGTGAAAGCACAGACATAACACGAAATAAAAAAGGCAAAAAACCATTACATCGCCTGCAAGGTCAACTTCTAACATTCGCTGCGATGTTCATGAACAGAGGATGATAGGAAATGGAACTAACATTCATTGTAATAGATTTTTGGTTTGCGTGTGGTTAGAAGAGTCTGCACTTTCATGCTGAGTCTCTTCAAGATCAAGTTGAATATACCGTCAAACCCGGGAGCTTTTCAGCGCTGAGCAAATCTGTTGTACTGTAATCATATCCGCCGGAGGCACGACACAAGGGGAGGCATCTAGGTTTTGAACGCATTGCGCAACCTGATCTTCGAGCGGACTTTGGATAGTTGAGCCAAGCAAATGCGATGAAGCGACATGCTTGCCGATCGCATTTGCTTTCTCCTGTGGGGTGATTAAAAGCCGATCGTCATCATTTTTGACTCTGAGAGGTGGAACGGGTTTGGGATGAGTTTTCAGGACCTTGACTACCTTCCAGAATGGTCTGGAGCAGTCGTCCATATTCTGGACAACACGCCCGAAACTTTCACTTCGGATTGAGTCCATTCTGGAAGCAATCGGCAGCACAATTAATCATCAATAAAAAAAGCGAAATGAGCAATAAAAAATCTCAAATTGGCCACTAAATACTACAGGGGTGCACCAATAAACAAAAAACAAGTTGCAATAGAAATGAAGAAAAAGGCAATAAACAAATAAAAAGCTTCTTTTAATAATTTGAATGTGAGCGGTAAAAATGGCAAAAAGGGCAATAGTAAATACAATACGCTCAATTAAATAAGGATGAATCTCCACTAAATTAGGAAATTTGAGCACTAAATAACTCACTTTCATCACCTGCAGTTGAACATATTTTCCCATAAAAGTGGCAAAATGAGCAATGCCATATTGAATAACCGCAATAAATAAATCTAAAATGTCCCACACGTTATCACTGTTTTAATCCAATTATGCTGTAAAATCGTGATTATTTCCCCAAGAAAAAAATTAAAATATCTTTTAAAAACTGAAAAAGTTCCAGGAACCAGGAGATAAATGTATGCTTGAACATGAGGATGAGCCATCGTAAAATATGAATCGTTCTTAAAGAAAAGAAAATAATTCATGCAGGAAAGTAAAAATGAGCAATTAAAAACGAACACTGCGCAATATAAAATAAAACAAAATTCCAATGATATCAAGGAAATATTCCTTTAAATTGAAAGTTTATTAGCCAATAACCCCGATCAATTTCCATATGGTATTTTCAAGACAGCGATAAGTAGTGATACTGTGTCTTGGCTAACAAAGTCGATGTCGATAAAGAAGATTAACGAATGTGGGTCTCATTGAAAAAGGTACCATTAAACAAAAT